GGATAGACTCTGAGCTTCATCTCCCTGCACATGCTTGGGTGTCCCTGAGGACCTTGACCTGCCTGGTCACCCAGGAGATTAATGAATTTTTTGCAGAAACCAGCAGTTTTGGGGTTAAAAGCCTAGTTTAGAATGTGCTACTTGGACCATTTTTGGAGAGTCTTGCCCAATTTTTGTTATTTTTTTCCAAGAACTTCCTAATAATAAAAATGAGTGTATATTTCAATACATCATCTCATTTAATCCAGTGTGGCTTTGTTGCTTCATATGAAGTAATTCTCAAAGTGATAAAAGCTTTTCAAAAGTAACATTGAAAAGAAATCCCAGTGGGTGGTGATAAAGACACTTTTAAATAAAATGATGCCTCTGACTTTTGGTAACAGCCAGTTACTTTAATCACTGTATCACCAGGGCTCCTTAAATAGTTAGCTAGCTATTGGAGGGGAAGTGGAAGAAAACCACTGTCCTCATTTATAAGCGACAGTGGATGATTGTAAGTCATTTAAGAAAGTGTGTGTGGTTTGAGGTCAGTGTTGTCCAGAGCCAGGACCAATGGCCTGGGAGGTGCAGTTGGTTGGACTTGGGGAGGAGAAACCCTGGGGCCAGATTCCAGCCCACCAAACTCTAAGCAGTGTTTGAGATGGTTGTGGTGAGGCCAGCACTGGCTTATTTTGTTGCTGAGAGGCCCGTGCCCTCCTAACAGGCGTGGAAGCAACTCTGGCCCTTTCCTCCATCTCTTTCTCCCCTTGACATTTCCACTTGGCACCAGCGCTGTGAGGCAGTCAGGTTTGAAAACCCTGTAACCTGCTGTCACGATCATACATGGATATTGGAATGCTGTGGGGTGTTTCATTCTTGGAGCAGAGTTGTCTCCTATTTCATGTGGACGGGAAGAGGGAGGCCTTTTGGGCAAGCCATCTTTTTATTGTTCCAAGAGTTTGAAGAATTTGAACCTTCACCTGTCAGAGTCACTTTCGGCATGAGGGCTGCATTTCCTCCAGCTTCTCTGGACATCGGGATGAAGGCATCATTTATTTCAGTGAGCCCTTAATGGGAGGCTTTCCTGTCTGGACACCCACCTTGACTTCATTGGAAACAGAAGTTCTGGGCATTGTGTTTTTTATAAATTTGGCTCAGACTTTAATGGGGTCATATTTATATCTTTAAAAAAAAAAATCCATGTCATTCCTTTAGACCAACATGTGTAAGCTGGTAAAAGTAGAGCAAACTGGTTTCATGTTTTGATTTATGAACTAAATATGTACATTTTGAAAAGCGTTTAACACAAAACGGGTCCTGCAGCTGCATGAGGCATCTTAAGGCTGTGCATAGCTCTTGTAGTGCAAGAGACTGAAGCCTTCGGTCTGCTGGCTTCCCAACACGACCCTACATTGTGATAAACACACACATACGTTATTTCCTCCCCCTCCCCTTTTCTTTCTGGCCATAAAGGAAACTGGTGTGGAACATTGTTTAACCTGGGATGTCTTGTGATCACCACGTGGTGGAGGTGGTTCATTGCTGTCTGAATCTACTCTGATTCACAGTGACCAGTCGTAGAACAGAATGGAACAATGACCGGTCATCTGCTATCTCCATAATCACTGTGTTATTTGTGGTTGGATCCATTGAGCACTGGCATCCATTGCTGGCACCATTGTGTTCATCTATCTTATGGACCATTTCCTTAACTTTCACTGACCCTCAACCTTAACAGATATGATATCCGCCACTAGCTATTGGTGTCTCCTGATGACATATCCACTGTAAGTAAATTGTAGTCTCAGACATTATCCTGTTTTGATCCATGGACCAATTCTTGGAAGTACATCTCAACTCTTTCCTGCTTGTTTGTCTGTTAGTCTGGAAGCTCCCTTGAAGCTGCCTACTGTGGGCAGTGTTTGAAGTAATACTGGTAGTTGAAGTACAGGTAGTGTAGCTTCCAATAGTATAGCAGGACACAAACTATCACCATCACTGTATAACAAATTGATAGGTGGAACCAGGAGGTCAGGAGATCAGGAGACATTGCATTGGGCCACTCTGCTGTCAGGGACCTCTAAAATACTGAAGAGCAGTGATACCAGTTTGAACACTGAATATCCCATGGACTGCTTAAAGAACAGACAGGTATATCTTGGGGAAAAAAGTGCAGCTAGAGTGCTCTTTGGAGGCTAAGATGACAGATTTTTGTATTTTGGACATGTTCGTGAGGAGAGGCTGTTCCTTGGTAAGGGGCATCATGCTTGGAAAGGTGGGGTCAGTGAGAGATCCCGAATGAGACGGGTTGGCACAGAGCCTGCAGCAGTGAGATCAAGTGTGTCAGAGATAACTGCACCAGACAGGACAGGGTTCATATGTGTTCATGAGTCCTCATGACTCATAGGGTCTCTGTGACTTGTATTCCACTTAACTGCACCTCACATCGGTTAAGTCCCTCAGGTGGCCTTGTGGGTAAAGAGCTGCTCTGTCTAACCATCAACTGGTGTTTCAGATGCACCAGTTGGCTGCAAAAGGACCTAACAGTAATCAGGTGAGCTGAAAAAAGGGGAAACTCCACTCTTTCTGTTTCCAGTGGTGTTCATCTACATCTTATTAGCAGGCAAATTTCGTTTTTAATGCGACTGCAATTGGATTTCATTAAGCTCAGTTTTATGTGTGTGTCATCAGCATTCAGGTGGTTCTCTGTGGGTGGGTGCAGCTTCAGGAGAAGGGCCAGTGACTCCCAGGCAGGTGCTCACAGCCCTTGAGGGGACTGAGAAAGGGCAGGGCCTCTTTTCTCAAGGGACAGAATACTGGTACAGTCACACCTACCCTAGGGACTGCAGTGATTCCAGCCACTGACTCTGTCTCTTGAAAGCTTGGCCAGTTTGCCTTGCAGGAGAATGAGGCGAAGGGTCTTCCTGTCAAGGGGATACCATGTAGTGTAGTCTGAGATCGTCCAAGAACCAGGAATCTCCAAGCCTGACATGTGGGCTGTAGTGGGAGCAAGTGATCAAGTGAAAAGAAGATGGGATGGAGGTTTTGCAGAGCTCTGAAGAGGTTTAACGGTGACCGTGGGTCAGTTTGAAGACATGGAAGTTACCAGATTGGAAAGATGATTCTAAGGCTTACAGTGGATTCAGCTTCATGGTTGTTCGGGACACCGTGTGGGGGGCAGGGGATGCACCCTTCCTGAGAGAGGTTTCAAGGAGGCATGGTGACACGATGCTAATTAACTGGACAGAAACGTTGACTGTTTACACCCAATGTTCTTAGGGTTGCTAAGAGTCATTCTTGACTCAACAGCCCCTAACAATGACAGCTAACAGCAGCAAAGCTCAGGAAGCAGGAAAGATGGCAATAACACAGGGATGAAGTACATCCCAGGGAATTACATTGTAGAAACTGTAATTGATGTCATGAAGCAAAATTTGTGAATTGTTGGGTAATGTGTGTTGTTGTCTTCTGTTGAGTTGGAATCAACTCCTAGCGGACCCTCCAGCAGGTTTTCAGGGGCAATTAAGTCACATGAGAGAAGAGCAGCTTGTGGATTGTTGGATGGAAAATGAATTTATTATGTAAACGTTCACTTAAATCACAGCTGAAAAATAATAATAAAAGAAATCTGTACCCATGAAGTGCTCATTCCTCCTTTCTCTCAGCCTGAATGCGCTTTCTGCCTTTGTGGATTTACCTACTCACCTTAAGTGGTTTCGGGTAGTTTGTGTCCTGTTGTCTATGGTTTCTTTCGTGTAACATATTTTTGAGATTCCTCGATCTTACAGTTTGTATCAATATTTTGCTTCTTATAGCTGAATATTGTATTTATCCAGTCATTAGTTGATGAACATTTGGGTTATTCCCACCCCTAGTCTCTTGTGGTTATTTCTGTGAACATTAATGGGCATGGTTGTTTGTTTGTTTTTTAAATTTTATTTTGTGTGAGTGTACCGTCAAATCAGATCTGACTGGTACAGGAGATTGTCCCTCCTTCACTGGCAGAGCATCTGGTGGATTTGAACTGTGCGCCTCTGGGATTGTAGTTGCAGCTCATTGCCACTAGGCCACCAGAGCTCCCCTGGGCATGTTTTTAATACTGGTTTTCAAATCTGCATATATTCCTGAAGAGTGGAATTGTTGGGACATGTAGTAATCCTCTGTTTGCAATCTCTTCCTCAGATTGCATCATTTTACAATCCCATCTGCTGTGGTCAAGGGTTCCAATTCTTCCATTGACTCTTCAGCACTTCCTTTTTAACAAACAAACAAACAAACAACACCAGAAAACAAACCAAGAAAGTTCAAAATAAAAATTCTTTTTTTGGGGGGGGCTGCTTGAACAATAAATTTATTGTGTTTATCTGAAAAATCTTCACAGAAAATTGGTTTAGCTATCAGCAGCCCGCTCCTGAGCTCTGAGGAAGCTTGCTTTCTTCTGAGCTACCCAATCTTTCTTCTGGGCAAGAGACATTTTGGGGCGATTCCACCTCTTCTTTTTAACATCTTTCTTAGGCTTCTCATAGACTGGATTCTCTCGTATGGCAGCATGTGCTTTCTTATACATCTCCTCCATCATGTCTGGAGCTACCAAAATAAAAATTCTAAAATGGCAAAGTGCTGTATTTTATTATGGTTTTTATTTGCATTTCCCTGATGGCTAACACTGCTCATCATATTTTCATGTGCTCACCACCATTCCCGTATCTTTGGAGAAATGTCTCTATCCAGATCCTTTCCTCATTTCTTAATTCTTTGTCTTTTTGTTGTTGAGTTTGAAAAACTTGTAAGAGTAATTATGAGAGAGCTTCTGTGGCCTAGTGACAGGAAGCTGCACTGCAGGTATGCGGTTCCAATCCACCAGATCCTTTTCACTCTTAAATACTTGAGTACATTTTTTAACCAATGAAGACTTAATTCAGTTTATTACAAAAATGAAGTCTTAATTCTGTTTGTTACAAAGAACAGAATTCAAACAAGTGTTGCCTGAGTGAATGATAAGCCCATGGTTCTTTCTCCAGACAGCAAAGCCATCGTGGATGGGAACCTGAAGCTCATCTTAGGCCTGGTATGGACCCTGATCCTCCACTACTCCATCTCCATGCCTGTGTGGGAGGATGAAGGGGATGATGATGCCAAGAAGCAGACTCCGAAGCAGAGGCTGCTGGGATGGATTCAGAACAAGATCCCCTACTTGCCCATCACCAACTTCAATCAGAACTGGCAAGACGGCAAAGCCCTGGGAGCCCTGGTTGACAGCTGTGCCCCGGGTAAGTGCTCAAGGCTGCCTGAACCCTTGGTGGGTGTGTGCTGGTCCTTGGACCTTTTCCAGTGAGTTAGCCAGGCATGCTGTGATTGGTATATTTCCTCATTTCAGCCCATCAGAAGACATGGAACTAAAAATGGCTGTTTTTCCTCCCTGTGACAGATCTTAGTGGCGTATCCGCACAGACTGCATTCACCTCTTGTCCACATTCCCAAAGAATGGCTTAGAGCCTGAAGCAGGGCTAAGATTTAGCTTCCAAACTAAAGAAAGCCCTGCTTCTTCCCACAAAGTCCTCCTCCTTCCCGCAGTTGGTGCCTAGCGCCCCAGTGGCTTCCACAGAAACATGTGGTCCTGTTAGGTGGCTTGGCGTGAAAATGGAAAACCTACACCGAGTGGAAAGTACCCATTTTTATTAACCACTGGGTGACTATATATGGCTTTCCCCACCATTTTCTTGCCACAGTGCTGTGATACATTGTTTGGTCAGGATCCACTTGGAGCCGTTTCCAGCCTTGATGGGCTTCTCTTTTCTGAGTGGTTTGAAGGCACATCATGGTAGCAGTTACCCTCACTGCAGGGTTTAGATTGATGGGTAGGATTTGCTGGTACCCTATGCAAAACCCAGAGTCTGTTTTTCTATGCACACACACAAATTAATTTTAAAAAAACTCCTATGGCAAGCTCTGGTGGCGTAGTGGCGAGAAGCTGCCAGAAGCTCTGTTGGAGAAGGAGGAACAATCTCCTTCTATACCAGTCACCCAAAAACTCTATGCACATTTTCCATTTACTGAGTCCTGTGTATGGTGCTGGTCACATCAGTATTTTACCAGATAGTGGTTCTCAACGTGCTGCTTGTAGCAGAACCAGTTGGTTGACACCGGATAGGGAAGGAGGGCTGACCTCAGTCCAGTTCTTCCTCTAGAGACCCTGTCAGCTGGTTCCATGCTGGGATCAGTCAAGTTTCACATCAGTTCCACTTCCCATCACATTCTTCCCTGCTTCCATTCAAAGACGCATTTTAGGATCACTTTTCTCACTTTTGATTCTAGTCGTACATTTTTGAAAAGTTTTGAAAAGAGAATTAGGCTTTTGCCTTTGATCTTATGGATGTTTGAACATACAGAATGCGAGTTCGATCTTTTTAGAAATGTCCAGGAATGGTTTGCAAAAAGGCACCCTGCCCAAACGATTTTATGGACACATACATACATATATACCAAGCCTTCAAGGAGTGTCAAATTTCTGTTTTGATGTAGGGTGATAGCAGGTTATGGGAGAAGTTTCAATCTAGTGCAGCAGAATTTCCACTCTGGCACCCTCATAACTGTGAGGGGTGTGTCTAGAGACTTCATTAAGATTTTCTGGAAAAAAAATAATTCTCTGAAGCGGCCAAGACACTCTTTTGTTATTTTGTCTCAAGGTTTAGTTAGACACTAGCATGTGTTGTCTTTTAATCAGTCAGCTAATGCTAAAAGCATCTTTCTGTGCTATGTTAAAGGTCTGTGCCCGGACTGGGAATCCTGGGATCCACGAAAACCTGTGGATAATGCACGGGAAGCCATGCAGCAGGCCGACGACTGGCTGGGTGTCCCACAGGTATGCACACAGGCATTCCATGTTCTGCAGGGCGCCTCCACCCACTGGCTTGTTCTTGAACCCTAGGGAAGCCTTCCTGGGTCAGGCAGGCATATGACTCTCTGGATTCCACCTTCAGGGAATGTTTCAGCAACATTGCCTGTGACACGCTCTCCTTTTCCTCAGTTTACACATAAAAAAAAACCAAAACAGGTTCTTACTGACTTAAACGCTTCTACATCACCTGAAAGTATCATTACCAGTTGCTCACAGATTCTATAGTTAGTCCCTGCTCCAAGTATCTTAAAGAGTAACTTTAAACCCCAGAATGTAGAGTTGGACCTTCAAGACCAGTTTCACCTATGAAAAATTGCAACTGTTAATAATTTTGGACCTATTTAAGATATACAGTTAAAATCCAGTAATACAGGAAATACCAAAGCACTTAGAACTTAAAAAAAAAGACAAATAGGAATATTTTACCATTACTGGGCATTGTGGTCAAATTTGTTTTTCCATAATCCCATCATGGGAGTGTAACAAGAAGACGTGGAAATTGAGTCAGTCCTGGAGACCTTTTTCCCCAGAACAGAGAGGGAAACCAATGTTTTGCTTCCAGAAACTCCATTTAATAATTAAACACCAGGATGCCATGTTCAAAGTGCTGGCTCACAGAAACTGTGGGCAGCTAGTGCCAAGCGATGGATAACCTCACTATAGGCTCCATTAAGATCTGAGTTGATGTTTAGGTTGGTCTGGCTTCGGTGTATTTTGTAACAGGATTTCTTGAGGGAGAGAAAAGCTTGCCTGTATCTCTTTGTTTTGGTTTTAGAATCATGTCTCCACTCCACCATTTATTTCTGTCTGGCTTTTGACCTTCAGGAAGTGGTGTGGTATGTTTTCCACCTCCTCCGAAAGCTAAAATCATTTGGTTTTGACATTCACGTGATATTGGCATTGGGAGGTTGTTGAAGAGGCTGCCTGGAAGAAGTGGTCAAGTCAGTGTACATTCGGCTTCTCATGGAATGGATGAGGGGTGCCTCTTTAAACCTACACAGCTATTTGTTCTTGCACTCTTGACATCAGTGTTTTCTGGCATGTTATCACCATGGTGCGAAAGAAACTTGGGTGCAGTTGTTCTTCTGCATTTGGTTAAGCTGGTCCACGTGACAGTCTTCTGTTTGTTCAGGGAGGTGTGACTTCCCTCCTCAGCACTGTAGCTGGGGACAGCGGACAGCGAGGACTTCGTATAGGGCTGGGACAAGTGGTGGAGCCCAGGCTGGGATGCCTACAGAGATGCTGGCGTCACCTTACCAGAATGGGGCTAATCTTGCCCCTGAACTATCAGGAGAAAATCATCCTTACTGTATTTCAGTGGCTCCTCTGATGACCTAGTTGGTAAAGAGTTTTGTTGCCAAGCCAAAGATGAAGTGGCTTGAATCCACAAGGGGAGAAGATGGGCAGTCTCCTCCTGTGCAAACTCTGAAAACCAGCTAGAGGGCCAGCTGAGAGTAGGTTTTGACTCACTGTATTGAGTTACCTGTCTCATACATTACTGTCTTATCTCTTCTGGTTTTTCTTAATAGTTGAGTAATCAAGAGACAGAAAGTAGATAGATACATGACCAGAGGAAAAGGCTCTTTTGTAATAGAGCTACAATGCAATGGATAGTCATTTCTTCGTCCTCTTGATTTGCTCTGTCTCAAGTATATGATGGTGAGAATGGCACAGGATAGGACAGGGTCCAGGTCTGTTTTTTTATAGGGTAATTGTCAGTCATACTTGACATGACAGCACCTAATAGCAACAGCATCACTTTGTAAAAGTTTGGCATCGAGAATGATTAGCTGTCCTTAGGGAGGAAGAAAAGTGAGATCATGACCTTCTTGAAATTATGTGCAAATTTGGTATGCGGTTATTAGTAACTGTTGAGTCATCTAGAACTCATAGTGACCCCATGAGTGATGGTTCTGGACCTTGCCCTGTCCTGTGCCGTCCTCATCATCTCTATAGCTGAACCCGTGGCTGCAGTTACTGTGTGAATCCATCTTGAGAGTCTTCCTCTCTTTTGCTGACCTTTCACCTTTCCAAGCATGATGTCTTTCTCAAAAGACTGGCCCCTCCGAACAACATGCCCAAAATAATTTAGATGAAGCTTCACCAGTTTTCTCTCCAAGGATCACCCTAGCCACACTTTCTCTAAGACATATTTGTTCTCTTGGCAGACGATGGGTTCAATACCACAACTCAAAAAAAAAAGCATTTGTTCATCTTCTGTCATGAATCATTGTCCAACTCTCAGTTGCATAACAAATAATAAAAAAGAATATGGCTTGAATCAGATGCACCTTAGTCTTTAAACTGATAACAATGCTCCTTAAACTCCTTAGAAAGGTCTTTGACAGCAGATTTAACCAGTGCATTACGTCTTTTAATATCTTTACTGCTAGTATAGTACCAAGGATGTTTATTGGGGATTCAAGCAGGATTAATATGTTGGCAAATTCAGTCTTTGTATCTGTCATGATATTTCCTATTGGCCCAGTGGTCAGGACTTTTGTATAATTTGGTATATAAATTCATTCTTCTGGAACACATCCCCAACTTCCATTAAAAAGGGTAGTGACTTCTTAAAAATACACTTGTCTTGGCATTTTGGGTCGGAGTCATTTCACTTAATTGGGAAGTTTTTTCCGTTTGTTTGCCTTAACAAACGCTTTGCAGATAAAAAATGGTATGTTCTGGATGCTCACCCATCATGCTGTTCTAGGTCATCACTCCCGAAGAAATTATTCACCCAGATGTGGATGAGCACTCGGTGATGACGTACCTTTCCCAGTTTCCCAAAGCCAAGCTCAAGCCGGGGGCGCCTCTGAAACCCAAACTGAACCCCAAGAAAGCCAGGGCCTATGGCAGAGGTAAGTGCTGGGTGTGCTGCTGGTGAGGTGTGTTCTCTGGAGACTCTAATGGTGTTTTAGAAGAGCTACTCTCAGAATCCAGAATATTCAGGATTATCTTTTTATTTTATGGCAAAACATTGTCTTTTAGGTATGTTATGTACTGTATACATGAATTTTACCATTTTAACCACTTTTAGGTGTACAGTGCATTGACGTTAATTCACCATATTAAACATTCACCTTAGGCATAATTTCTAAAACTTAATCATCTCAAACTCAGTATCTGTTTAGCAAACCTTCCCAGTGCCTGGTAGAAATTAATCTGTGCAGTTGCCTATTCTAGGTATTTCACTTACGTAGAATCACACAGTAGTTGGGATTTTGTGATTGGTGTACTTCAATCAGCACAGTGCTTTCCAGGTTCATCTATGTTTTAGCCTGTGGTCATGGAGTTGGTAGCATGTTAATCAAAAGGCTACATGTCTTCCAACAATTTGAATCCACTAGCGGTTCCATGGGAGAAAGATGAACAATCCCCTAGTAAGATTTACAGTCTCAGAGATACGCAATACAGTGACTCAAAAGTAGCTTGATGGCGGTGAGTGTTTTGCGTTCATGTATACCACGTTTATTTATCCATTCTTCTATTGATGAACACTTGGGGTGGTTTTCATCTCATGGATATAATTCCTATATTTTATTAATTTTCATAAACATTTACAGAGATTTTGGGTTTCCATTCATTCATTGTTGCACGGATATAATTCTTAAAGCAAGATTTTTTTCCCCTAAATGCTTTTAACTGTCTTTTTCCACCTTGCGTATTTGAGACTTTAAGAAACACGGCAGCTTTCACATAGTGGAGGATGATGGGTTAGATGCGATGTCATCTGGTGCAAACTTCCTGGAGTGAAGGCAGGATTGGGGCTCCTGCTTTTAGATGAGGGATGGAAGGCCAGGGTCACAGAGGGTCTTGATTCAGACCAGCACAGTCAGTGCTGAGAATGGGACAGGAGCTTGGGTTACTTGCTGGCTGATTCCTTTCTACTTTCATTATGCTAATGCCGCCCAAGATTTCCAGATTGGGGGCAGGAGGTATTGTTAACACCTGGTGACGCGTCCTTGCACAAACATCCTGTTTATGCCTACCAGGCAGTCTCGAGACACTATTCTGCTCTGTCAGGGAGCGTCAAAGCTGTTTCCAGCACTTGGTGTTCTTGTTAGTACCTGGCTTCAGGCACATCACCTTTTATTAAAACTCACCAGCTTCACATCAGCACAGGATGACTGGTTTCTGGTAAAGATTAGCACAGTGAGATAGAACTTATTCCCTTTTCTGTGGGAATGAGAGGGACTATGTTTTATTTCTTGGAATACCATTTTATGAACACAGTATCCTGTATCACATCTTCTGGAATCTGGAGTTGTTAACATTTTCCTTAATGGCTTTCGTGTGCCGTGTGTGTGTGTCTTTTTGGTTCTTGTATGTAATCCAAAATATGATTATGATACATTTGCTGTATTTCTTAATATTCATGTCCTCTTTTGATCAACTATCTCTACTTCTAATGACGTTGGCCTTCGGAAGAATCCAGGGCACGTGTCCACTTAATCATTGTCTTTTAATCATTCTGGTTTTCACGTTACATATAGACAGGGCAGTGGTGCTGACTCTGTGCTGTTTCTTAATCTCATGGGTCAGATCCTTTTCCTATGTCTTTTAAACATGATAGGGTCACTATGAGTCGGAAACGACTCATCGGCACATAACAACAACAACAACAGACTAGTAAACAGCCTGATTGTTCTGCAGCAGATCAATTAGCCCTTTGAAATCCTCCTGTCAATTTGTTGCTGTTCAGTGGTTTTTAAATTGTGATGTGAGTGAACGTTTGTGGAGCAGATTGGTTTTTCATATACCCATTCATAAACATTTTTATTTTAGAACCATAATTTCAGTACCTTTCAAGTAATGGAACTTTCCTCACTTCCTCTTTGTAATTCTCATTTCCATTAATCCATCTCCTTCCAGCCTTCAAGGCTTTATCTGAGCCTAGAGCTGCTCTTCTGACCTTGTATGAATGGTTATTTTAAGGAGTACTTGCCTCCCTGGTGTTACTGGTCACCCTTATAGGCCTGCCTATTGTTTGGATGAAAATTGATCCACTGGGTTGAGTCAGTGCTTCCTTTTAAAGGCCTTTCCCCTAAACCACAACCCAAGGTAATGTCTGGAATGAGAAATCTCAGATTTTAAAGGTTGTGCCTCTATAATGGTTTTTTAAAAAAAAGCTACAAGCAGCCAGATAAATCCCTTGTCCACAGAATTGTCAAATGGCATGACTCTAATCAAGGCATGAAATCCTTGTTTGTAATAATGTTATCACTAGCTGGCCAGTTTCCCCATTGTTAACTCGAGTTAGTTTCCTTTCATGCTGCTTTGTTCTAGAAAACACCACTTGCTCTGGTCAGGAATGTGGCCACTCACCCTGCTTCCTTCATCTGCCTTTGTGAGTGCTATGCGCTTGGGAAGGAAATGTACCTCCTTTTTTTTCTCTCCTCTAAGTATGAAAACAAAATAGTCATTTTAGGCAGTAGGACCACCGTGTGAGCTGTTTTCTTGTCCTATTGTGAGACCAGGAACAGGGATAATTTGCTCTCTTTCTTGTGTGATCACATGGCTTCATGCCACTCAAATCAAGAAGGAAATAAAGATCTTTTTTTTTAATCCCCTGTTTTCTAAAATAACAGGGAAGTTTGGGTTTTTATTTTGAATGCTTAATAATTTCCAGGTGCCAGCTGTTTAACACTTGTGGATTCACCCACTGATCCCCAACTTGCTTAGATCCAAGGGGTTGGAAGGAGAAGTGGAAGAGGCAGATAGATCTTTGGAGTGGTTCTGCCTGTGGGCTTAGCTATGTTGAAAACAGGTTAGGTATCTGTGACCTAAGGAGAAACCATTTCTAAAACCTGTGTGCTCTGGGAAGCATTCACTGCACAGTAAGCCATCAGCACCCTGTAAGGGAGGAAGATGGGGTCAGCTTACATTCTGAGTAATCATGGGGAATAGTAGTTTCAGAACAGTGAGCCCCGATCCAGAGCCGCTCACGGAGCGTGGGGATGTTGGTTCAGTCCCCTCTGGAACAGTGGAGCTGAAGCCAGGCCTTGTGCAAGCTGTGCAGTCATTTTCTTCTCATGCTGTGAAAGTCACATGAGCATTTCTCAGTGTTTTAAGTGCATGTTCTATTAAGCTACTTGTTAAAAGAGCTATTATCTGATCATTATGTGCAGATGTAAGCTGGGAAGAGAATGTAGAAAACAGTTGACAGCCCACTTCTCAATTGCCAATCCCACTCCTTCAAAGCCTCAGCTTTGCCCCCATGTTGAAATGGGTTCAGAGCATGCTTCCTCCCAGTTTGCATTTAGTCTCTAGCAGTGTCTGAAGGGTATCTTCTTATGAAATATTTTTCCTAAAATAAGTTAGTTACTGGAAACTACTGCAGACTATAGTCACTATTGTCTCAGACAGTGGCCCCTTGTCTTAGGAGATGGATGAGAAAGGAAAAGAGGAGATGGAAGGAAGTCTACAGATTAAATGAGACTTAAGAGACTTCACAAGCAATCGTCATATGCGAACTTGATTTTTAAAAATGATGTCTAGACTTACATCAAAGCGGTGCAGGAGGAGGGAAGAGACGTGGAGAAAGATTCAGTGAGGCTACATAAGGGCTCATGGACATTCATGATATGATTGTCTGCTTCCGTAGAAGTTTGACAGTCTCCATAATGAAAGAGGTTGTTTCTGAAGCGATACTTAAACGCCACTGCCAAGAAGATGGAATGGACCTACTTTTTCTTATTGCTCCACAACTGGAAATCTTGGATATTATATAGAAGATGTTGAAGGGCCAATGATAATGTATTCTGTGGGGTTTCTTGTTGCTTCATGTACCCTAGACTTGGAGCTAAAGAGGCTGATGATGTTTAAGTGCCAACGAAGGCCTGTTCTCTATAGCCAGAGGGCAGAAAAGGACAACTCACAAGGCTGAAAGCTCAGGCAGTAAACGTTCTGCTCCAGCTGACCATCACAGTACTGCTTCCCCTCTGCCCCGCCTACACCAGCAAAGATGAAGGAGAAATCTGGTGATCATGAGACCATCATAACATCATGCCAGCAGAGGCCATGTGAGGAGTAATGAGGTGCTCCTACACCTCTCCTCCAGGGAATTCTCAGTGGAGGTGTACTAGGGAACAGTAAGGAGAAACTTCCTCCCTCTCCCTCACACCTCACCTACCACCCAAGTCCAGGCTGGAACTTGGCCTTCCGTCCCTGCCTGGCAATAACAAAGTGACACCGTCTCCCCATCCCCAATGCCAAGTCTTTATCATAGAAATCCAGCAAAACCAGAATGTTTAAATAAGACTTAGGGTCTTATAATATCCAAAAGGTCCAGATGTTCATTGAAAATCATTTGTCAGTCTGAGAACCAACATCTCAAACTAAATGCAAGAAGATCAACAATAAATAGGTGCCAACCCTGACGTGGTAGAAATGTTAGAATGAGCTGACAAAGATTTCTGAAAATGAGTTGATTTTTCATTTATGTGAAAGTTTACAAAACATTGGTTTCACACAATCATAGACATTTTGTTTATAATGTTAAAAGCTATTGATTAATTTAAAAAATTAATTACATTGCCAACTTAGTTGCTTGGCACTCTTGTGGTCTACTGGTAAGAAGTTGCACTGTAGTTCTAAAGGCACGCAGTTCAAATCCCCCAGTTGCTCACTGGGAGAAGGATGGGCAATCTCTTTCCATGTAATTAACTGCCTCTGAACACCTTCCGGGGTCAGCTGTGGGTCAGTTCCAACTTGATGGTACACAACAACAACAACAACAACTCAGTTTCATATTGTGTGTTGTCTTTCCCTTCACCCAATGTATTTATTAATTTTTACTTCCCCCTCTCTCCCTGTCCATCCATGTTAGCCCTCTGAGGTTAATTCCCTGTGTCAGCCTTCCCTAAGCTTTTTATAATAGTGGTTTTATACCATAATTGTCTTTAATGTCATCTAGCCCTGATTAAAAATACATTGATAAGCAAGTATAAACAAGCTTGCCACAAAAAAGAGATCCTAGAAAATGTCAGTAAGGACATGGGAAGTCCCAGCAAAGAAGTGGAAGATACAAAGTAACACGTGGAAATGGGAAAATGCAAAAAAACAAAATTAAAACCTCCATGGATGAGTTCAACAGCAGAATAAAGGGGAACGGGAAAGCACCGATGAGCAAGAAGGCAGAGATGACTCATTTTGAACAAAGAGAGATGCTGAAAAAATCAGGGACTTCTGGCACTCTGACAAAACATCCCCTATCTGTCACTAGGGATTCAGAAGGAGAGAGGAAAAAAGTGGAACTGGAAAAGTACTTGAAGAAATAGTCAGTGGGGACACCTGAGATTTGGCAAAAGATAATAAACCTACACATTGAATAAATTGAATGATCCCAGGCAGGATGATCCCCCCCCAGCCCCCCGCCGCCAACGTGCACACAGTTGTACACACACACACACACACACACACACACACACACACCTATGATATATTGCATTTAAAACTAGAGAAAACAAAAATCTGAAAACAGGAATAAAATGGGTGGAATAAGAGGACAAAAGAATATGACAAACAAGAATATAAGTGATTGCAGTAGTCTTGAAAAGCCACAAACTACCAAACTCGACTAAGTAGAAATAGATTAGCTGAGTAAAGGATAGTCTTTCTTTCTGAATAAGTATGTGTGACCTATGATTATCTCAGAATGCTTAATTTAGAACATGATGTAAAAAATAATGATAATAAAAAGTAAATAAATACTCTTTGAATGTGGTGTTATATGGAACCAACTCGTAGCAGATCCTCCATCAGGTTTTCAGAGGTGGTAAATTGGACAGGAGGAGATGTTCCGTGGAACAGCTGGTGGATTCAAACCACATACCTTCGGGCTGGCAGCACAGCTCTTTATCACTAAGTCATCAGAGCTCTCACATTATCAAATGTAGTTTTAATAAACTTCAAACACAGAATATGGTCTTTAATACCTTTCATACCCTGTTTCCCTCACCTTTCCACCCCTATTTTCCTCCCTGTAGACAAGTCCATCACTAATCTTATCAATATTTTAGAGTTAGTTTTCTTACCCAGCATTGTCATGGTAATTTGTCCCTATCTTCCCAGGGGTGTTTCAGGGCTGGGTCCCACCATCCTCACCCCTCAGAACCCCTTACTGACATAGTGGGCAATGACTGAGGTTCCACTGTCCCCATCCTCATTCCCCCTAAGGAGACAGGGTAAGTGATGGCTAAGGTGTCTGTTCTGGCTCAGTTTAGAGCATGTTGTGTAAATCCTCTGACAGGTATCGAGCCCACTGGAAACATGGTGAAGCAGCCAGCTAAGTTCACTGTGGACACCATCAGCGCCGGGCAGGGAGATGTGATGGTGTTTGTGGAGGATCCAGAAGGGAACAAAGAGGAGGTAAGCAGAACACTACTGCTTTCCATGTCCTGTGTCTCGTGGAGAGTTTGGGGCCAGAGCCAGGAACTGTACACCTCCTGTTTTCTCACTTCAAACTCATTGTAAAAATTGCTTTAACCAAAAGAGTGCCAAGACTTTGTTGTTAAAGTAATTTGCCTAAGAACTCAGCCTTAGAAAAGAATATAAATTGGCGTCCAATGTCTTGTTGCTGAAATTTGAGGTCCTGCAGGCTAGATTTCTGGGTGCTGGTTGTGCCCCCAGGTGTTTCTTGCTCTGCTCTCTTTCCACACTGTCTTGTCCACATCCTTCCTCTGGGCCTCCTCACATGACATTTTGTCTGTCCATCAGTCTCCCCAGGACCTGACTTTACACCTACCACTTACATGATCAGAAATTGTAAGTTTCTTACATACACATTGTTTCCCCCATGAGGGCCAAAATTCTGTTCAACTTGCCCATTGGTTCCTTTTTAGAGCTAACAATGTGCCGCTGTGACTGCTGAGGGCTACACAGCATTCCCTTGTTTTGCCTTTCATCTGGAGAGTTCCAGCCCTGACTTTGAGTCACAGAGATGGGCCACACTGTACCATGTGGTTGTGTTTCTGTGACTTCAGGTGCCTTTTCTCTTAGGGACCACGCCACAGGAGAGGCGGGGACAGCAAATGGCCAGCACCTTCACTGTCATTCATCTTCCTTTCTAGGCCCAGGTGACCCCAGTCAATGACAAGAACAAGACCTACTCTGTGGAATATCTCCCCAAGGTCACGGGCTTGCACAAGGTATGGAGGAGGTGTCATGGTTGTTGTGTGGACTTCTGTTCATACGTGGGGTAAAAGAGGTTTTAGCTAGAAGAGTGGGACTTCTGATTTTTCTTTCCAGTTAGGCAAGTAGCCATGTTTATTTGACATTATATATGAGACTTGAGACATTAATTAACACTCCTAGATTGGCTGAATTGTGCTAAGCTCTTTGCAATGTCATCTGACTCCATGTAGGTAACTAATGGTTGCCTCTTTGTTCTAACACTTTCTTAAGTCTTCTACTTCATGTTGCTCTGAGGACCTGTCAGCATTAAAGATTGAGCAGAGAAGAGACCATTGACTATAATGGAAGCAAATGGTCCATACTTGTGCATGGAGAAACCATGTGGGGCCAGCCTGATTTTATGTCTGAGGTCTCTTGGACCATCTAGAGTTTTGCCTGAGATAGACTCTAGTTGTCCTGTGGAGAAAGAGTCGACAGGAACCTTTCTTGCAGAAAAATGAGGTGACCCAAGAGTGTACCCTTCACTGGGAGCAGGTCCACAGTAGCACCCTGCAGCACCTAACAACAGCAATAAAGGCATCATTTCCCAGACCTAATCCTATGGAGCCACATGGGCGTCTCAGCCAGGCAACCAGTATGGTTCCAGGGCTCCTAGTTCCAGCACTGTTTCATGTGGCCGTCCATCGTGAGGAGATGGGAGAGGAGATCGCCAATGCATCTGGCTTGATGGTGATTCTGTCTTGCTTGTATGTCACCCACAGGTCACAGTCCTCTTTGCAGGACAACACATCTCCAAGAGTCCGTTTGAAGTGAATGTCGACAAGGCCCAGGGAGATGCCAGCAAAGTCACTGCAAAAGGACCAGGCTTGGAAACAGCAGGAAATATTGCCAACAAACCCACCTACTTTGACATCTATACGGCAGGTAAAGGGACTCTGTTGTGGGTCAGACCTTTGGATTATTTTATTCATTTTAATGAACATTTACAGATCATTCATTCATTGTTGCACAACTTTCTGTCTTTTATTTATCTATTGCATTTATTTGTTGTTGAGGTTGTACACAGCAGAATATACAACTATTATTCATCAGTTTCACCTGTGCAATTCAGTACATTAATTACAGCTGTCAGATTGTCCATTCTTGTCCTCCTTTTCTCAAGTATTCCCAGTTAACCTTTCCACTTGCTGTTGTCAGTTCCCATGTAGGTGAAACTAAACTATTGTCTTTGCTTGGTTTTAATTTGGGGGGAATTTTTTGTTGATGTTATTTAAGGTTTGAAGATCCTTCTGTCTTTTAAATCTTAATCTAAACAACAGTAAAAGCAGGATTTTCCAGGGTATTGCTGTTGTTCTTTAAAAACTTTTTTTCTCTGAAATGATATACTCAAGCTGGAGCTTGAGTTTTAATAACTCAGTTTCCCTGAGCAGTCCCAACTTGACTAAATGAACATGCTAAAGAAACTAAGTTTTAAGAAAGATCTGCTTGGAAGTTCTGTGCAAGGTATATAAAGGTTTTTTAAAAATGTGAATTAGACAATCCTTAATGTGTCCACTTTTTTGTGTGGAAAGTTTGGAAAACAGAAGACAGTGTGGTAGAAAAGGAAATATTTCAGCGCTAGTTGCGGCCACCTCAAGGAAAGAGTTGGTAGTATTTTGATGTGAACTCTCCCAGTTGCAATTTGTATCTGCCTTTGTGCTCACTAGCAAAGGAGATTTCAGAAAGAGGGACTTGGGCTCATAGAACTCTCCTTGTCTCCTAGGGGCTGGTGTGGGGGACATTGGTGTTGAGGTGGAAGACCCCCAAGGGAAGAACACTGTGGAGTTGCTTGTAGAAGACAAAGGAAACCAGGTGTATCGATGTGTGTACAAGCCAATGCAGCCCGGCCCCCACGTGGTCAAGGTCACCTTTGCCGGTGATGCTATCCCCAAGAGTCCTTTCCTTGTGCAGGTTGGAGAAGGTGAGTGTGAGAGGGCCTCTGGCAACAAGGACTGTGTACCACAATGATCATGGCCTGGCACTGAACTTGCCCCTTGTCTACCTGGGCTTCTTATGATGGGAAGTGGTTTCCTTTGTTTTCAAGATATTAATACTAATACTTTCCTACGAACCATGCAGCGATCTAGTGCTTTACTTGAATGAACTCACTGAATCCTGCCCAGAAACCAAGGACAGCATCATTAGCAAAAGCAACTGCTTGAGGATCTAATATTCAAGGTTGATTTTGGCAGAAGCCAAAGTGCCCTACTCCTTGATCTTTATTTAGTGTCTGCCAAGCACTTAGCACAACTTTTGTCACCGCCAGACCACTCTGTGTGTTGTTGTTGTTGTCGTCGTCATTATCCCCAGCACGCAGAGACATGGAGGCTTAATAAGGGATCAGTGAGTTAGTACTAGGTGTCAGGGGTGGTATTAGAACCCAGATCTTTTTCCTTTGTAGAACCAATCCTTAACCACTCTGCTAAACTCCTTCTACAACCAGAAGCAGTTTTCTCCAATGTTAAACTCTTTCTCCTCTTGATTTTGGCATCCTTTTTTTTTGTTTTTTTCCAACTCTGCTGCCTTTTCTAACCAGTACTTTCCTTTCCCTCTCTGTCCTCGGGCATCTGCATCTTCAGATGTGGCTTCCTCTTCTGAATCTCACCTCTTGGCCAGCCTGGACCCCGAAGCTGTTGGCTTCCTAACTGATAGCACTGGGCCAGAGCGTCTTGCTTGGTAAGGGCTGATGGGGTGGGACTTTTTGCTAGTTCCTCGTACTGCTTGCCAGTGACCACGGAGGATAGGCTTTTGGCAGTTTTAGGAAATTCTTGTCTAGGAGTTATTACAGCTTGTCCAGCCAGACCCCAAAGCCACTCTCTAATTGCACTTAAACATATCTAAGGCTTGACAAGATGGTGGCGTATCTGCCAGTTTCCTGCAAACTTTTCAGTTCCAGTAAGTACTTATATAAACTTAGCACTTGAAACTGTTGTATATCAAGCTCGGAATTTCCTTGAATTTTTTTCTTTTAAGGCTTGTTATCCTCCTGGGATTTACTTCCGCATGGCCAACATTTTTCTACTTTAAAAAAAAGCAACACAGGCCAAAATGACTTCCAACCCCCCAAGTCACCCTAAATATTCATCATAAAAGATTTTTTCATAATGCAGGAAAGAATTTTGAGCAGCTTTCCTATTTCTAATAACATTTCCTATTTACCTCTCATTTTCGGTCTGTCCTTCCCATTTCAAGCCTATTCATACCTCACTTAGACAAGTTGATATTTAATGAACAGCTTTTTAACTTCTGTTTATTAACCTCCTTAATACTAAAATAGCTTTATGAAAGAGACATGACCTCACTTTCACACATAGACAGCCAGTATTACTTTTCAAGAAGAGTCACACTATACTCATGACACAAAGGTGATCATTCATGAAACTAAAAATCATCACTAACCCAAGGAGTGTCTTTAGACTCTGGGAAGCAGTGGGTTGCCCAGTGACCAGCAGAGGGGTTTCCTTGACATTGCAGAGAGGAAAGCCACAAAACGAAAACCTTCCTTCAATGGATTGAAAGAAGGAACTCTGGTAGTGCAGTGCATGATCTGTGTTGCTGCCAGCCAGAAGGCTGAGAGCTTGAATCTACCACACATTCCTTGGGAGAGATGATATAGTCCCCTCCCCAAGAGATTTATGTCCTTGGGAGCCCAAATGTGAATTACTATGAGTTGGGTGGAGTAAAACGATTGATCTTCTGAAATCTGTGGTGTGCATAAGAGTTGTCAGATTTGAAAAAGAAAAGCGACTTGATAAACAACATGCCTTTTACCCACTAACCTTTTCATTTCTCTACTTAATGAGGTCACTCATGCTGGGGGAAAAATTTCCTTGGGTGCAAGCATGTCTTTTATCAGCCACGTAAAGCTTTCTGTCTACTGGGAAGTAGTTTTGTGGAATAAAGCTATTTCAGGGAAAATGAGAAGAGAATGTTAGAAGCTACCTTTGTTCCTTAATATTCAGACTTGTCACTTTGCATTTTAAACCTGATCTAGAAATGAAATCCTCATTGTTGCTTTGGCAGCCACCCCAAGTCCAAGTCCAAAGACCTCATAAGAGGACCCAAAGGTTGGCCTGCTGGGCTAACCTGGTCTCATTTAAAATTTACCCCCTGTCGTGTTTGCCTAACTGTTCATCCGGAAAACAACAATTAGTTAAGACTTTTAGACATAGCTAACCTAGAGTTTGGAATCTAGTCAGCTGTTTTCAAGTGCTTCATCTTCCAAGTTGATTTGAAAAAAGCCTTGTGTTTCTGGTTACTGGGCCCTTGAGTATGACTGGGAATTCTGAATATTGTCCAGCTCCTGGCCACTGAATGGATAAATGCTGGGCTTCATCTGGTACCAGGAGCACAGCGTGGATTTGCTGAGCTCTCCTGCTTTCTTTGCCAAAGTAACTTTCCCCTAGTCCCTCGTGGGAGGCTGGACAAAGTTATATTGTGTCCTTATTTGCTAGCCTGGTGTGCTCCTTAAACAAGACCCCTGCTCTCAGGCCTATGCTGCATTCTCTTTGTGCAAAGCAAACATTCCCTTGGCATGTGGTTCCATGTTACCTTGGCTTGCTTAACTCTGACTGGAGCATGAAAGGGTTGAATTGATGTTGAAATTGTGTTTGCAGCCTGCAGTCCAAATGCCTGCCGTGCCAGTGGCCGAGGCCTGCAGCCCAAAGGCATCCGCATCCGGGAGATAGCCGACTTCAAGGTTGATACCAAAGCTGCTGGAAGTGGGGAGCTCAGCGTAACTGTGAAGGGTCCTAGTAAGTGTGACTTTGTTTGCTCATCTCAAGTGTGAGTAGGGCTCCATTTGCAGCCACACTTCATATATTTTATTGCACAGCCAGTCTCATCAGTTTATCTGGGTTGAGGATTTGAAGCTATCTGGACTCCATAGGGGAAGGGTCCTGTGATTGATTACTGATGTCTGCCCTGGGTGCCATATAGAACCATGGATGGTATGCTAATCTCACATGATATTAGGTCCTTAGGAGCAACAAAACAGAGATGTAAGCAAATTGGGAAGAACAACTCAATGTGATCAGTGTTCTATTTGAGGAAAGGTTTTGCCCAAGATCACATAGTTGTAGGCATTGTAACTAGAGTGCAAGTCTTGTTCTCCAAAGCCTATAATTTTCCCCCTACAGGTTACAGACTATGAAATTATCTCAAGTACATAATTACTATGATAAATGCTTATCGAAGGAAAATAAAATTCCCCAGGATCAGGCATTCTTTCTAGATAAATGCCATTCATGAAGGGCCAGATTGTTAGCCTGCAAATCATCTTTCCTCACTCTTCTGGGAAAACAGACAGGGGATACACCAAGTGTCTTCTCCAAACATCTTCGAGTGCATTCCTGGGACAGATGAGCAGTTCAGCAGATGTTCTGGATGCTGATGGAGCAGATCTTGGCAATTTCACTCCTGTGCCTTTGGAATCTTGAGTTGTCTGTGTTAGACTTGCTGCCATCCTCCTAGTTCCCAACAGTCTGGGACAGGAGTGTTCTGTGCTCTGGAAAGGTAGTGCCTGATTGCCAAGCTTTGGTGCAAGGATCTGGACTGTCCACACCCAGAGCCTGGCTGTACTGGGGCTGCCCTGCCTCTGGGCTTGTTGCAACAGGAGCCAAAGAGTCATTTTTTCCCCCCCGACCTTGAATTCTTGCTTGACTAAGGCTTTCCTGGCCAAACCTCAGGGCTTGACATAAAACAAGTTCCGGCCTGATGGCTTAGTCTAGAGTTGGAGATGTAACATCTCAAGCCAGTCCTTGTAGTGTTCAGGCGCTCATTTTTATTGCCAACCCGAGTTGAAAAGATATGTAGGGATGTTAACCTGAAACTCATGCCAAATACACAGGTTTTTCATCCCTGGTTTTTGCAGGGGTTGAGGTGGCAGCGATTAGTGTTGATTGATGTTGAGATGTGACAGAGTTTATCCTAACACAGACCCAGAAGGATCAGACCTCAGTACTAACCTTTCATATCCCAGAGAGCTTCCTTTATATCATGCTATGAAGCAAAGAGATGGGCCTCTTTTCAGCATTGGTGGATTCACCTTGGTTTTAGAGACCCCGGACTCTTGAGGCAGAATCCCTAGTTCGTGTTAGAAGTTAATGCGTTCAGCTGCCAACACAAAGGTGCCTAGGAGGAAAGGCCTGGCAATCTGCTTCCCAACAACCAGCCACAGAAAAACTACTAGTGCTCAATGCTACTCTGATAATTACAAGCCAGAGCTGATTCCTTCCAAGGCGTCCCATCTGATTTTCCAGTGTAGCTTATTTTGTGGATTTAGCTGTCTTGATGTTCTTTTTTTGGACTCTTCTGTTTTTGGATTATGCTGGAAAGGTTTATATACTTCTCCCCCACAGAGGGTCTGGAAGAGCTGGTGAAACAAAAAGGCTTTCTGGATGGAGTCTACGCCTTCGAGTATTACCCCAGCACCCCTGGGAAATACAGCATCGCCATCACATGGGGAGGACACCACATTCCAAAGAGGTGAGGGCTTGGTTTGGGGGCTCGGTGCTGGGGGCAGCTGGGCCCAGCCACTCGCACATGAGCGGCCTTTTCTCTGGCTGCAAGAGGGGAAAAGATCTTTTGTTGAAGAATTTTTTTTAGAGCAGTGCACAGACGTTTGGCCTGTTCTCAAAAGCAGCAGAATGTCGTTGTGGTTTCGGCTGCCTTGCTTTAAATCAGATGCTGGCAATTTGGGGCCGGTGGGAGGCAGGGAGGCCAGAAGGCGCTGTAATAGAGAGCAAATGGGCTGTGTGTCTGTACTCCCTTGTGTAAATGGAGGGTTTCTTTTTTCAATGGATGCCTCTGTTCGGGAATTCCATGGGGGTGAGATCTGCTAAGGTTTACATTAAAATCCTCCACGTGAGCGCCTCTGGGGATGGAGCGAAGCAGACTGCAACTCGACTGTCCTATGTGTGTGTGTGTTTTCATATGCCTCCCTTCGGGGCGACTTTCGACTCTGAATAAATTGCGTTTACCATGAGAAATATTTGAGCTCTTAGGAATCTAAGCTCTGGCCTCGCATACCAGAATTAAAGTACATCGCTGTTGCTGTAGGAGATAAAGCCTGCACCACTTGGTTTAGTTATAACATAAGAAGGAAAGGGGAAGTAGATGCTCTCTGAACTTGCAGGACTCACACTTTGGTAAACTGTGCACTTGAAGGCAAGTCCTTGTACAGTGCAAGTAACATGCCCTGCTGCTAATTGAAAGGTGGTTTGTGTTCACTCAGGTGCCTCAGAAGAAAGTGCTGGCAACCTACTCCCCCAAAAAATCAGCCACTGCCAACCATGTGAGGCACATGGGGATACCATAAGTCAGGACAATAGATTGTTTTTTTGAGGCATACAAAAATGACAAGTGAATGAGGCCATGCAGGGTATCTTGAGTGTTAACCCTGAGCTCCTAGAGCCAGCCAGATTACAGTAGATTGTTGACGTAATAATGGTTGTGTGGGGGACATCCACTGTGTGAGAGGAAGGGTTGGCTGGACCCTGGGCCTCCAGGTGAAGGATCAGGCAAGTGAAAAGAATGTATGTGCACAGCTCATGGATCGCTCGCTTTGTGTCGCTGCTTCTCTGCTCATCGTTAACGCCTCTTCCATTCCTTCTCTTCTAGCCCCTTTGAAGTTCAAGTTGGCCCTGAAGCAGGCATGCAGAAAGTCCGTGCGTGGGGCCCCGGGCTCCATGGTGGGATTGTTGGGCGCTCAGCAGACTTTGTGGTGGAATCCATTGGCTCTGAAGTGGGCTCACTGGGTGAGTGGAGGAGCTCACTGGAGGCTTTGGCGGGCTGGAGTTTCAGGATTCCTGGGGCCTGGGCTCTGCTTGAGTGTCAGGCTGTGTGTGAGAAGCCTCCCTGGCTCTGCTGATCAGGCCATTTCTGCACATCACTGCATCCACTGTGAACTGCAGCTCCAGCAGCCCTCCTGCCCTGCCCTCTGGCACCTTGAAAGCAGAGGCCTTGACATGGGCATTATGCCTAGTTGTGCAGTCGTTAAAGTGCTTGGCTACTGACTGAAAGTTGGTAGTGGAGGCCCACTTGCTGCTCTGTGGGTGGGTGATTTGTCAGCCTGCTTACGAAAGATTAGAGCCTTCAAAACACCAGGAAGAAACAGTTCTATTCTGGGTTAAAATTGGCTCAGTGGCAATGCAAACTTTTGTTTTGGCTTCTTTGCTTTTATTTTTGGTGTCTAAAACAGTGGATACTCGGCAGATACTGTTGCCTGACTTAAATTTGGATCCCTCAGTGAATTTAGTGGAAATTAGAAATTTGGCTAGAAAATAATGTCCTTTGAATCTGAGGGGATGGTTGCTAGTCTACTTTTTTGTATGGATTTTAGATATATCTGTATCTAGAAGCATTTTGAATCACAGATAAGTAGGCTTTGTGAAGAACCACATAGCATGATCTCTGTTACAGCTGTTGATTCTGTCCTTGTAGTGTGATAAGTTAATGTCTTTGTGTAAAACATTTTCTAGAAAAAGACAGTGGACTAGACTAGATTTGGCCCACAGGATGTAGTTTGGCGATCTGTGTTTTGTTCTGTGTTGTGTTCTGTAAAGCCAGAACCTATCCACAGCTGACCCTCCAGTGGGTTTTCAGAAGCAGTTAATCGCACAGGACGAGATTGCCCATCCTTCTTTCAAGGAGTAACTGGAGGCCTCGAACCACTTGCCTTTGGGCCTGCAGCTCAGCCTCTTGCCACTAAGCTATCAGCTCCCTTTAGATAACGGAAAAAAGAAAAATAGACATAATATTTAATCATCCCTTGCGGAGAAATATTAAACCTCTTGGTATGTCCTCTAGATGTCTTTTTCTTGTAGATACACACAAACCACTGATCTGCGACATAAAACATTTGGGGGGAACCGTTAAGTCTTTCTGTTAAATATAGGCTATGTCTTCATTGTCTGTGACTTCCATGAATTCCGTTGTATGCATATATCTATTGTTAGATTCTCAAGCTATTTCCAGGGTTTTGCTATGAAAACAATGTTGAATGCATGTTCTTGTAGCTCACTGTTACACATATCTTAGGCTATTTCCTTCAGATAAGTGCCCAGAAGAGACTCTGGTGGGGCAGATGGTGGGTGTACATTTAAGACTTCTGACATCTGCTGCCCTTTTGACAATAGAAAGTTTTTCCAGTTAAGTAGTGTGAAAACAAGTACAAAATCCAACCTTTCCACCTCCAAAGGCTCAATAGGCTTGGTTTTATGGGAAATCAGATCCAAGTAGATTTTAATCTTTTGCCAGTCCCTGATTTTTTTTGGGGGGGCGGTCAGAGGGATTGAATTGGTAGAAAGGGTTCTTTCCACAGTGTAACCTGAAGATCTTCCCGTTTCATCCCCAGGATTTGCTATTGAAGGCCCCTCCCAGGCAAAGATTGAGTATGATGACCAGAATGATGGATCGTGTGATGTCAAATACTGGCCCAAGGAGCCAGGAGAATATGCTGTTCATATCATGTGTGATGATGAAGACATCAAGGACAGCCCGTACATGGCCTTCATCCACCCGGCCACAGGAGACTACAACCCAGACCTGGTGAATCAACTCGTCCCCTTCTGTCCTCGCTTCCCTGACTCCCAGCTTTCTTCTTCCAGTGTTTTAAGCAGCTTTTTTAATGAGTGAGAAAGCATTTAGTCTTAGGAAGCAGGTGAATCTTGAATTTGCATCCTCTTGTTGCCACTGAGGGCTTTTATGATACTGAATGAGTAACTCACCATATCTTCATATGGTGGTATCTGAACCAGCCTGCTGTCTGCTCACATGGGCAGCTGTTCATGGGTAAAGTCTGTAGCCTTTCTTTTGCAGAAGGCCAGTTCTTAGTGCTTCATTCTGTGAGGGCTCTAAGCTTTGGAGCATAACAAGCAAAGAAGATTCTGAGCTCCTTCAAAGTGGGACAGTGAGATGTGGCCCTCCAGTTCCTAGAACTTCTCTATGTCAGTTCAGAAGAATGCAGGGAGCGCAAACCAGCTTGACACTCAATTGTAGAGCATTTTTCCCCCTGTGCTAGGTTAGTGAGATGCATTTTGCCAATTCAGTCAGTGCCACTGATTCCATCAATCACACCATGCAACCATCACTGGTATTCATTGCTAAGTTCACCATCACCACAAATACTCAGCGCTTCCTAGACAATGGTTCTCATTTCTACTTGTTGTTTTAAAATTATAACCTACTTTAGTGTTTCCTTCTTATAATCACCCTATTACATAGAAAATTTAAAGCCAGGCCCTAGTTCTGCTCTTTTCCTACTCCCTGGTCACCAGTCTTTAAGTGTTTAATTGGGCCATTGCACAGAAAGAAAATCATTATCATCTCTTTGCCTAGGTTCAAGCATATGGGCCAGGTTTGGAAAAATCCGGATGCATCGTCAACAATCTGGCTGAGTTTACCGTGGATCCTAAAGATGCTGGAAAGGCTCCCTTAAAGATATTTGCTCAGGTGAGTGTTGTAGGAGGAGAGAGCTTATCACCTGTGCTGGTAATTGGCAGGTGACAAGCTCTCTCAGCTTAATGGGAAGTTACTTAGTCCATATGCACCTCAGTCTCCTCCTCCACACATTGGATATAAGACTCTTGTCTTGTGGCTTTATGTAAGGATTATATGAAATTCTGACCTGCCATTTTTAACCACTGATCAGCGTACAGTGATATTAATTATACATTTATGGTTTCTTTTTTTTAAACTGTGATTTTTTTTTTCTTTTATTATTTTTGTGTGCATGTACCGTCAAATCAGATCTGACTGGTACAGGAGGAGATTGCCCCTCCTTCCCCGGCAGAGCATCTGGTGGATTCGAACCGTGCACCTCTGGGACTGTACTTGCAGCTTCTTGCCACTAGGCCACCTGAGCTCCCCTAAACTGTGATTTGAGTGAAAATGTTTGAAACAAATTAGCTTTCAATCAAACATAACTTTTTTCGTTTTACAACATTAATTCACTAACTGGTTTTAGTTACAAGATCATTAATTAAAGAAAAATGAACACAATATTCTACCACCCATCATTGTGTGGTGAGGACGTGGTGCATTGTGGTTGCTCAGTGGTATGTGGGTGGATAAGTGTGCGCTGAGTGAAGGCAGGGTGGGGGCCAGCTCTGCAGCTAGCTTCACTTCTCTTGCAGGATGGGGAAGGCCAGCCCATCGACATCCAGATGAAGAGTCGGATGGATGGCACGTTTGCCTGCTCATATACCCCGCTGAAGGCCATCAAACACACCATCGCTGTGGTCTGGGGAGGCGTGAACATCCCACACAGCCCCTACAGGGTGGGTTGTAAGGCGGATCCTGGCCATTAGAAAGTCCATCCCTTGGACAGGTCTAGGGGCTCAGTGCCTGAGGGCAAAGCAAAAGCAAACCTGTGGAGAGAACGCATTCCTGGTTAGACGTAGATAAAAGGATTGTGAAGCAGATATTCGAGATTGTCCATGAAGACTATATCCAGCCATGCTTTCTAACAGTGACTTACTGGGCCCAAGTGCAGAAGAACCTGTAATGACTTTCTTCATGTCTTATCCAGGTCAACATTGGGCAAGGCAGCCATCCCCAGAAGGTGAAAGTATTTGGGCCTGGCGTGGAGAGAAGTGGTCTGAAGGCAAATGAGCCTACTCACTTTACAGTGGACTGTACCGAGGCTGGGGAAGGTGAGACGGGGTGTCACTCGAAGCGATGGTTTCATTACTCCTTGAGGAAGAAAGGTCTTTGTAGAGTATCAAGGGAGGCAAGGCGAGTGATCTTTGCACCAGGAAGTAGTCCACTTGAATAGGTAATTGTTCATCTAAGGAGCATCTTTGTCAGCTCCTGTTGATATCTTTGCTAATCCGCATGTCCTCTCCCACACTCCTGACTTACTGTCTTTCTCATATTTATTACTGGAAGGTTCCCAGTGTTAGTTAGCCTGGGCTGGATGTGCTTGCGAGGGACATGCCGTTTCTTGTAAACTGCTGCTAATAAGCTCGTCTTTTCCAGGTGATGTCAGCGTTGGCATTAAGTGTGATGCTCGGGTGTTAAGTGATGATGAGGAAGACGTGGATTTTGACATTATTCATAATGCCAATGACACGTTTACAGTCAAATATGTGCCTCCTGCCACCGGGCGATACACTATCAAAGTTCTCTTTGCCAACGAGGTTTGTGTTTGGGCCTGAGCCGAGGTGGAGGGGTGGGGCCTGAGCTGAGGTGGAGGGGTGGGGCCTGAGCCGAGGTGGAGGGGTGGGGCCTGAGCCGAGGTGG